ACTGCAGACGAGATGCCAGATCAGGACCAACCACGTTGCATATCCGTCACTGGATTTTGTTTAGGACCTCGAGATGAACAGCGGGAGCACCAGACCATACATGGCAGCAGTATTTCATGCAAGGACGAATGGTTGATTTGTAGATTTGAAGGATGGGCTCCTGCGAGAAAAAAAAACAAAAAAAAACACACTGTGACTTTTCTTGGGGGCGGGGGGAGTGCTCTATCAAACCAAGACTTTGGAGGAACTTTAAGGGTAAATACAAGAAGTTATGTCTTCCATGCCACAAGAGTTCCTGGTATTATCAGTTGATGCGATTCCTTGTCGAGAAGCTGGGTGAGAAATCTGGGCCCATATCGAATTTTAAATAAAGCCTCACTTTTTTTTTTATATCTATTTATTGTAAAAATTATTGTTAATAAATAAATTATAAGTATTTTAAAATGGAGAGTTACTTTTCAATCACCCTGTATATATGTGTGTATTGTTTAACCCGGTGATGCTAAAAGTATAATATACAAAGTCTGTGTTTGCCACGAAAAGTTTAAAAGAAAATCTGTAAAAAGGAAAAAAAAAAAAAAGAGAGAAAGGAAAAAGAAAAATGGATAAAGCTAAAAATTCCAATTTTTTTTTTACCACATATTGAAATAAGATTTTTAACGCACCCTCCTTTCAACAGAAATTCGTCCCCTTTGCGTAATGAATTTCGAAATTCCATGTCTGCCTCCCGATGCAAATTTAGATTCGCCCATCCCTGGGTCGAAAAATAGAACTTCAAATAAACCTGTTGAACTTCTACCAAAGACAAGTTTATATTCTCGCATACAAACATTAATTTGTAGACATTACGCAAGCAAATTAATCACTTCCCTTTACGATTTAACACAAACCAACGCATGTTCACTGATATGTTCAACGTGTCAGAAAGAAAGAGTAAATTAGTTTTCGCTGCTTTCTTTCAAGTCAGAAGCCTCATTGAATATAGCAATAAGAGTTCTGTTAAATACTTTTTATAGTAGCTAAATTGTCTTCGTCTCCGAGTACAAGTGAAATAGTAATGATCAGATTAACCGCTTCTCTACAGGAAACATTCGGCATTCATTGAGCGATGAGTTCGCTTTACTGTCTGTTGAAATTCATGAAATCGTTCTCTTAAGAGTTTTTTTTTTTCGCGGGCAAATAGATTTCAGAAGTTGCTTCTCTTTAAAATATTAATGGGAGTTTATTTCCTCACATTTTGCTTAAAGTAGCGTGGAAAGAAATCCTCCTGTCTCGTAATACTCGACGGGAGGATTTCTTTAGAACGAAGAAAAGAGTACCGAGTTGCTATGGGTCATCTGTCCTCCTTTACGGCAGTGAATATTGGACAGTCTCCTCAAAAAATGAAGAAGAGACTTGAGGCGGCGGAGGTATGCTTTTACAGACGGATGATAAAGATACCATGGACCGAACATATGAGCATGTGAGGTTTTTGAGAGGATGCAAATAAGGAGGAAGCTTATATTTAACAGCAGGAAGAGGTAGTTGAGCACGTAATGAGAAAGGAGGGCTTGAAGAATCTGATACTCACAGGTCGTATAGAGGAACAGTGAGACAAAGGAAAGCAACGCATGACATGGATGACAGAACATGGCATGAGGCAAGTAGCAAAGGGACAAAACTTATTGAGAGCTACAAGGGATAGGGGTAAGTGGAGAGCCATGATCACCTACGTCCTGAAGGGACACGGTACATAAAAAGTAAGAGGTGTGGAAAGTCGACATCTTATGCTTTTATTTTCCCATCTACTTCGACGTCTCCAGATGCCCTGATCTATCCCCTAAACTTCTCTTTATCCTTTTTCTCTATCACTCCTCTTTGCTCTCGCTCCAAATCTCTGTAACCCCTTGCGTGCTAGTGGCTTCCCGCCGCCTTGTTTGGGGTGTAATTTGCTTAAAAAAAAAAAAAAAAAAACTTAACCGGGCTACCCATTTTCATAGTTCTATATTTATATGTACAAACCATTTTTGTAGATGTTGCTTTCAGTGATGTGAGGTTTTGTTGTTTGATAATGTCATTTGTGATTGTGTGAAGCTGGAATTTATTCGAACTTACAAAGAATTTTCTTTAAGATCTAAAGAATTCATTCGCTTAAAGTCATTGTTAATCGTTGGTCTAAGAAAACCTTTTTATATGGTTGATGGTTTATGCATTTCTGTGCCAGTTGGGCATCATATTGCTTGACATACTCTTTATGACTCTTTTTGACGGGGCTTACAAGGCAAAAGCCACCTTGGATACTAGATTAAGTGTTTTGTAAAATACTTTTTATATAGTGGCTTTTTTCGAGTACACTGATGTTTTTTTCATCGGACTAGTAATGAACGATTTAAGAAACAAAGCAAAAAAAACAAAACAAAAAACAAAACAAAAAACAAAACAAAAACAAAAAAAACAAAAAAAAAACGTAAATGTTAATGACAATGATGAGATTCGGCAAACATTCGGCATTCATCGAACGTGACAGCGTTATAAATCTCTAAAATCTTTCTCTTCAAACAGTCTTTTTTCCAGGCAAGTCTTTTGACAGAATACATTCGCTTGAAGTCATTGTTAATCGCTCATCTGAGAAAACCATGGCGGATGATTTAGGCATTTCTGAACGAGTTGGACCTTATGCTGATTGATATACTTATTGTGTCACTTCAATGTAGTGTAATGGTTAACAAGCTGGTTTCGCTAGATCAATTACAACTGAAAAGTGGTTTCGATTCGTTCCCCAAAACCTTAGGCCTTGTGCCACATCTGAGCTTAGAAATTCACCATGGTCATTGTGCCAGAAAGAAAGAAATACTTAGTTTACGCTGCTTACATTGGATACGAGATTATGGGTTCTGTAAAGCAGTTTTTCAATCCAATAAATTTCTCAAGTCCACTATTATCGATCTTTCTAATATTGATGGTCGTTTCCTTCCTAACCCTTTGTTTTAGTGGCGGATGTCAACATTTTCATTATGCAATTATTTTCTCTTAGAATTATATGTGCTATCCATTTTCGTTCTTGCTGCTGCTGAAAGTCTCTAAGTGATGCGATTTCTGTTATTTTGTAAAGATATTTGTTTGTGATGCTTTAGCGACAGCTTACGAAACCCGAAAAAGGACATTCTCGCTCAATATCCCCAGGTTTCTTTTGCTTGAGGCCATTTTTAATCATTGATCTGAGAAAAAAGTTGTATATCGGTGATAATTTGGGGTCTTACGATCGCACCACGTTGAAATACCGGTTCCTGTACGATCAGCGAAGTTAAGCGACGTCGATCCTGATCATTATCTAGATGTGTAACCACTTGGAAATACTAGGTGCTGAAAGCTTGGTGATGTAATGATAATAGCCCGGAATTGTGAATTGGGTTCGTTATAATCATTTAGGCGCAAATAACCTTGAGAAATATCTGAATCCATGTCTTTTCCCTCCACCTATGGCTTAATTAGTAAAACTTGTATCACTAAAAGCATTAGTATTTAAAAAAAATACGTACAAAATACTTAATTTTCAACATTATATAACTCATGTAGGTGTCGATATGCCGCTAAAAAAATAACCAATCAACTGATATTTTAGACGTTTTGAACGAGTTGGACGCCATGTATGACATCGAAATGATAGTCTAGATCTGACCAGGCTATTTTAAGAATATTTGGCTTAATATTCTCTTGGTATTTTGTTTTCGTAGTATCTTAGTGTTGGACACTACTACTCCTAGCGCGGGCATGTTCTATGCTTCATTTCCTTATCTCCTTCAGTTAAAAACACTATAAATAAATTAAAAAATGCAAACATATATTTTTTATTTGCACTATTTATGATATCCGGACAGTTATCCTCATATTTGTTGCCATATTCACGACGTTTTGGCCGTTGTAGACTCCGGCCTTCTTCAGATGATTGAATAATTTCGAACCGAACCCTTTATTTCGTCCACAAAAAAACCCCCAAAAAACAATAACAACAACAAAATTGTAATATGAGATCTGGTAAAAAATGATGCTGAGACATAAGACCCAAAAAATCCTACACATGACCCAGTGGATAAAAGCGTTGGTATCCAATGACTTGAACCAAAGAGTTATGAGTTCAATACCTGGCTACAGCAGAGGTGAATAAAAACTTGGAGAGTTGAGTTAAAGGGAAATAACTGATACTGAGATGGCACATGGAACTAGAAAAATCTACCCCGGTGGTGCGAAATTGTAATTACATGAAGAAGGCCAGAGCGTACAATGACCGGAACTTCTTGAATATGGCAACAAAGATGAGGATAACTGTCCGAACAATGTCAATAGTGTAAATAATCACAATGCTTCATCTCAGAACCATAGACAGGTTTATTTATTTATTTCTTTGTAAATGTAAAGTTATACCTAAATCAAAAGTTCGCTGCATCTTTTTTGTATATTTGAACTCAGGACAAATGTCATACGCCTTGCTGCAATTCTTGCTGCTTTATGGATTGAAAAGGGAACGAGTGAAGAAGTAAAGAATGCATTCTTGACACTCCTTTAAAAAGAACACTATATATTTAGATTGTAATCCTAATATTCACTTACACAATCTTTGCGTTTTGAATTTATAGGGGGATCTCTACTAGAGAACGCTGAGATTGTCGTTGAGTGTCGTTCCCCTTGCAAGTTTTTTTTTTTATCCCTTTAAGTTGGTTCTAGCATAGTATTGTTCTGGACAATCAGAAATCAGTGTGAAAAAAAATGTATTCCCTAACAAATCAGTCTTTGTTGCAGCGTTTTGACTCTTATAAAATGGCATATATATTGTCTGTCTGTTCTCTAAACAACTCACAAAAACAGGTATGTTTGCCAACCGACATTTAGACGAAGGAGGGGAGGTCTTCTTTCATCTCTGTCAGTCTAATGCGAAGAGTAACTCGGTGCAGCGAATAAATATTTATTCTTGGCTAAAATTTTGTTAGCCAGAACGATTGGTGTTCTCGGATGCTTTTAAAGTAATAAAACATTTTCGTTGTCAGCACTTAGGATGTAAAAAATAAATAAAGGAAAAAAGATTCTGAAGAAATTATGGTGTTTGTAACCCATTCAAAAGTTTTTGGCTGTGAATTTTGTATAATTCAAGTAAATACTCATCCATCGTTAGGTTTTATTTCTGATCGATGGCGCCGGATTTAGACACTCAACGTCTTCCCTGAACATTATCTTTTCTCATGATAACTTAAAATGATTTTCTTTCTCATGTTTCTTCCAAATCAAGCAACTTGCTTATAACCCATAAAATTCGGTGTGATGTTTTTATTCACCTTGCTGGCAAAGAATTATTGTTATCATTGACATAATTAATGCCTTTGATTTTTCTTTATATAATTATTGTACCCGGGATTTTTCAGTTGGATTCATTTCCTTGTTTCTTTTAAACCGAGTATATATACAAAGTGAATGGTGAAAAGATTCGTGGGTCAACAAAGAATTGATGAAAACAAAAATAATCTGATGATGTATTTTTTTGTAAATTGAGTCGAACCGATAACTTTTCAACACCCTCCTCATAGCCCCCCCCCAATCTACCAATCCAAAAGATAAGATAAGAAAATTACATTGGCTTCTGCTTCAAGGTTATTAAGAATACATTTCAACTGGAGGTGGAAACTAAAAGTTAACCAAGAAATATAAATGTTTATCCTAGCAACTAATTTCCACTGTTTTAATGTGAGATCGAATATTGTGCTGCTAGTCATAGTTTAAAAGTGACCTAATCTCTAGAAGCAGTGATTGTCTGTCGTGATCTTTTAAGTAGCAGGCATTGTCCTATTTTGACGTAGCTTTGTGTGAGTATTAATAAAAAAAATCACGTAAATTAAGGTGTTTGTCAACAACAGATTTTTTACTTAGAATTGCATTATCATCATTTATTATTATTATTATTATTATTTGTAAATATTTTAATTTGCAACAAAATCAGTCGGCAAGGAAACTTTATAGATGTTTTGAAATCATATATGTTAAGAAAACATTATTTCTGAAATAAAAAGTTTAAATTCAAATTAACTAAAGTTTTTCCCTTACAATTACTAAGGTTATGTAAGTATGGAGTTTTAAATTCTTCGGCAATCATGGATAAACGTGTTTACAAAGAAGTAGTCTGAAATGAAAGTTTCTGAAGATCAAAGAGAAATGTGTAAATTCGCTTCATATTATTTAGCTTTTATTACAATTCTAATCATTTAAAGCAATAAACATTTCTGTGGAGTGAAGTTAGTTAAAAAAAAAATGTGGTGTTGCAGACCCGGCAGCGTGCAGTGCTGGTTTATTACGAAGTGGCCTTGTGCCCGACACTACACTAAACTACCGAGTCCACAAGCAATGTATAAAAAAAATAAAAATGCGTGAATGAACAGTGAGAGGAAAGGGGTCAATCAACAAGTGCATAAATTAATAAACATCAAAGAGATAGCCGGAATAAAATGACAAAGACGTCTGTTTGTAAAACATGTGTAACTTTTATTAGATGGAAACAAGTAGATTATCTCGTGGTACGAGATCAAGGAAAAGTTCCGCGCCTAAATAGAAATGCAAGATGAACAAGGCGGGAAAAGGGTTTTATAAGGTTCTGGAAAAAGGAACTCGTTAAACACGAGGTGTATGTGCGCACAGATAGAAAGGAGTACTCACTGTGGATTTTTGGCGTTGTGAGTGTAATGTTATGCATATTTTTAAGGTACTGGTTCAAAGCAGATTAGAGTCCAATGAATTAAGAGTGTATGTGATTTTGTGTTTTTTCTTTTTTTTGTTCAGGTTCAAGGTAGGGTCTCAGAGTTCGGTCAGGTCTTGAATTAACTGTTGAAAATTTTAACGGAATGCTGTGGACGTCTAGCCAAAAGGACGAAGAGCTAGTTGCGGTTGGTTGCATCGTCTATGAGAAGTTAATTATGGCGAGTCCAGAAGGGACGAAGAATATCTGTTCGTCAGTAGGATATCCCTGTCTGTATTTACGATTGACTGACGAGGGATAAAAATAAGCCATTTGTTGAATACGAAGTTTTGCTCACGACTGTGTCGTGTGTCTCGAACGTCTTCTGGTCGAAAACGGAGAAGGTCTGACCTGCGGGTAGCAAGTTGTTCGTCAGTAGGATATCCCTGTCTGTATTTCCGATTGACTGACGAGGGATAAAAATAAGCCACTTGTTGAATACAAAGTTTTGCTCACGACTGTGTCGTGTGTCTCGAACGTCTTCTGGTCGAAAACGGAGAAGGTCTGACCTGCGGGCAGCTTCAAGACGAGAAGAAGTCTTGGTACAGTGTGAGGTCGACATTGTTGAAATAAGATATTCCGGCCCGCATATGGGTTAAGGGCACGGAATAAATGAGTTGCCCGTCTAGTCAGGTTGAAGATCGGGAAGCAACTGGTTTGCAAACGCTGGCCGTTTGAGACGCCGCGAAATGCGCGGGAAAAGATTCAAAATCTAATTTGCATAAACATCAGGAGCAGCTGGTCGTTTGCAATCAGCAACAGAAAATGGCTTACTGCTATGTCTGACTGAAAGAGAAAGGAAGGGGGTCAAACGCGTGCACACACGCACGAGTGTCAAAGGAAGATAGGATAAACTCGCGCGCGCGTAAAATAAGATGGAATTAATGTGTTAATTCCATAGTGGCATCATGGGAAAAATCCTTTTGGCACTCCGTCTTATTTCATCCATGTTTGCCCCCCACCCCACCATTTGCCAATTCATCTACACCTCAATAAATACCAAATAACCGAAAAATTGTCTCAAGATTCAAACATTAAGAACAATTAACTTACAACTTCGCCACTCTGAAAAGAAACTTTACACTTTCTTTTTGTGGACACCAACTCTTAACTAAAGAACGTCCATTCACCCAATTTTCAAGTCACAAGCATACATTTCTATAATTCTAAAATCAAAGATGACCACGAGGTATGTTCAGCCTCATCCCAAAAGCATTTAGGTGCATTATGGGAATTTTTCTTTAACCACTAAAAATTACTAACTTTCAAACCGGCATGTTATTTACAATAGTTTTTTTGTAAACTATATGAATAGACGTAACCAGATAAAAAAAAATTCCTTCAAGAAAATCAAATTCATCTTACTGAATTGGACCATAGAGATCCTCTTGTCATGGAAGACGAATACATGACTAGCTAATATAGTTTACGCTATTATTGGTATACACTGGGATACTTGTAAAATCAACATGTTCTATGGAACGGTTAACAATATATCCTCATTGGGGCTTAATCCAAATTAAAAGCTACAATTTAAACTCACTATCTTAATGTAGACTAACAAAAAGGTGGAGAAAGCGATATAGATATTATTATTAATCATAATAATAATAAAAACACTGAAATATTTTATTGTTTGATGATCCCCTTCAACTGATTTGTCGTTTTTATACTTGAACTTCAATTTGATAAGTTGCTTATTAAGAACAATTTTTAGCCTTTTTTCATTTCTGAACAAAAAAAACAAAAAAAAAAAACTGTTCAAGCGTTCTATCGGTCCGAGCGGATGTTGCAAAGTGTTTTTTTTTAACGGATTATTTATATATTTGTATCTATACAGATTGTAGTTTATTTATTTATTTTTTTATTAATTTTCGAACACGGTCAGGACATTGTGGACTTATTCATAGTCGATACTATTGAGTGATTTCATCTTCAATGAAACGTGTATAAAACAAATACACAATTATATACATATATATATATATATATATATATATATATATATATATAAAGATAGAAAGAAAGAAAGAAAAATGCGTTGCTACTAGATCTAACAACGTAATTAAGTTTTTCATTTTAGGGAAATTGTTTTTTTCAGAAAACATATATTTCTCTATAACAAATCCTGATTCCATCAATTCTCTTCAACTCCAAATGTAACTTAGAACATTCAGTAACAGTTCCTAATATATATATATATATACTTGTTTTTGTTTAAAATATCCATTTATATATATATATATATAAATGGATATTTTAAACAAAAACAAGAGTTTTCTATTCCAGGAACATACACACATATATGTATATATACACACACTTACACACACACACACATATATATATATATATATATATATACACCCACATGTATTTCTACATATATATATTTACACCACCTCAGAGGTGCCCCCCCACATATATATATATATATATATATATATATATATATATATATATATATATATATATATATATATATATATATATATATATATAAATATAACCCCCGCCTCCAATAAAAAAAAAAATAAAAATAAGCAAAAACAAACTTTTGAAATATGAACCTTTCCAAAACTAATTATTCTAAAACCGATTAAATAATGTCAACGAAACGATCCCAAAATGAGAATTAAAACTAATGCAAAAAGGACAACGAAAAAGTAATACTCCTGTCCCATAATAACTGCTATATTTTCATACAGAATTTATACATTTAATTCCGCTGTTATTATAGGACAGGTAGTATTTTTATTATTTCCTCTGTTCCATAATAGCGTTTGCCATTTGCAAAGTTATTTCATATATTATTATTCTTGGAAATCTCTTGCTTTTAATAGCTCTATCCTTAAATGATAGTTACATTTTCATACACATTTCATACATAAAATGACACACTTATTATGGGACAGGTGGTACTATTTATTACCTCTGTCCCATTATAGTTGTTACAACCAAACTCGAACAATAATTGTTACTTTTCCATAAATTAAATGTAGCATCTAATGCCATTAAGGTATCGGAGCTTTGGCATGGCCAATGGTTTGCGTGTAGAGTTTGGATGACAACTCCGTGCTCCATACATATGGCCGCGTGCCAAACTACGCTTAGCAAATAATTGCAACTGTTATAACACAGAGATAGTAACTATGAAATTTGTCTCGAAAATGAAGAAAAACAGGACAATTTTCATTTTATATCATCTTTTTTAATATTCTTCCTTATATCTATTTTATTCACGATTTTTAAAAAATTTGTAACAGAGATTTGAAGCAATTTTGTCGATCAAAATCTGGAAGAAAATTCGTTTTGATTCTGATTTATTAAAACATAGTTTCATGTTAATGATAACGAAAGGTTTTCCTACACTGAAACTGAAAACTGAACAAAAAAAAAAAAAAAAAAAAAAAAAAATATATATATATATATATATATATATATATATATATATATATATATATATATATAATTATTTATTTAAAATATGATTCCAAATCGCTACATAAGAGGTCTCATGTTTCAAAACAAGAGCCGAAAACTTCAATATAATCCTTTAAATTAAATTGAGTTGAAATTAAAAAGGGCTCCGTTCCATCTTCAAGCGAATTTTTTGTTGGAATAACGTATATCTGAAATTTTCTTGTTTTAAAAATTGAAATCAAAACCACCATGGTAACAGCTAGGGCGAATTGTCTAAAATGGGTAGGCGAGTGTAGGGTGTTAATGATGAGTGGCGGTATAGAGATACTTTTAAGGTGTCAAGTCGGGGGAAGGTGAGGGTGTTAAAAAAGAAACGAAGATGTATTAAGCTTTCGTCAAAAAACTGTTAACTCGTGTCTATTATTTAATAGATTATTATTATTTAGAAGTTTAATAATGTGCAATTTTTCATGGAGGCACAAAGGGCATGGGTCATCCCAAGCTTTACATATTCTAGCCTTGTCAATAATTTTCCATTTAACTTTTGGTGTCTTATTTGTTTCCTTCAAGTGCCAAAAATATTTTGATAGTGAAGTCTGGTTTCTTTTGTTTATATTATTAAATATATTTTTGTAGGCATCATCAGATTTTTGGTTTGAAATAAAAAAATTTATATAATTGGTTAACAAATAACCCACTCATCAGATTCATAGTAGAAATTATTAACTACAAACTTGCATACAACATAACACCCTTCATAATCCATAGCCCAAATTAGTAGTTTAAATACCTTACATAAAAGATAACCCTTTATGAAGTCGTCAAAAAACAAACGCCACGAAAGTTTTTCTTTTTATATGCACAATTCCCTTTCATAATAAAATAAAATAAAATAAATAAATAAATCTCCATAGACAAGCCAACTTGACGAAAGCTTAATACATCTTCGTTTCTTCGGAACGGAGCCCTTTTTAATTTCAACTCAATTTAATTTAAAGGATTATATTGAAGTTTTCGGCTCTTGTTTTGAAACATGAGACCTCTTATGTAGCGATTTGGAATCATATTTTTAAATAAATAATTATATTTATGCTCTACTTTTGTATCGAGCACTATTTTTTGAAAATAATAACAAAAATACTAAGGAACTTTGGACTATTTACCTAACCAGTTCCTTCCTATTTTCTATATATTTTCACATATATATATATATATATATATATCATTTCGTGTAAATAAAATTGTAATGCTGTTGTGTCTTGCTTTGTACGTTTTATTTCTCTATTTTCTTTTTTTTTACAATTTTAATCATCGCTTTTTAAAAATATAAACATTTCCGAAGAGTGAAGGTCGTCAAAATAATAGCAGTTTCAAGGGGAAAACGCCAGTTTGAAATTCCGTTTTCTTGCGGACACAAAGATGCAAGGTTGCCAAATACGTTTAGCTTGAATAATGCCAATCCTCACTACATAAGCCTATTCCGCCTGAAAAGAAACGACCTTCCAGAAATAAAATATTTGTAACATTCCCGCCAGTAAACCTGTGCATATGTTGGCGAAAAGTTTAGAAAGTTATAGCTTCATACATTTTTACGTTTACGACACGTGCACACGCCTCGTTGAAACAAACTTTGATAAGTCAGTTAAATGCAGGTTTAGTTTAAGAAATCTTGAGTTGTCTCCCTTTAACTTAGTAGGCTTCTTCAAATCAAATTAAAAAACCTTGTAAATAAATTTTAAGTTTGTTAGAAAATGTTATTAAAAACAAAATCAGATAAGCAGAAATAGAAGAGAAATGCAAGCACAATGATATTTTAAAATGATATCGACGAATTTAATTGTTACGATACTAAATTAAATCACTTTTCTGCTAAAAGAATGAGAATAGAAACGGAAAATGAATTCGAAAGAGTTGAAAGGCGTATCAGTTGAAAAAGAAGCAATGAAAATAAGGATTGGCGAGAAAGGGGAGGCATAAAAAGGCTCATCATATAGTTTTAGATGTCTTTACTATATATATTAGCATAATGATTATCTATCTATCTATCTATCTATCTATCTATCTATCTATCTATCTATCTATCTATCTATTCTAGCCTTTTCGCTATCTATCTATCTATCTATCTATCTATCTATCTATCTATCTATCTATCTATCTATCTATCTATCTATCTATCTATTCTAGCCTTTTCGCTATCTATCTATCTATCTATCTATCTATCTATCTATCTATCTATCTATCTATTCTAGCCTTTTCGCTATCTATCTATCTATCTATCTATCTATCTATCTATCTATGTGTGTCTTTTTATGTATGTATGTAAAAACCAACTTGCTGTGGTAAACGTAGCAACACGTCGCGTGGTGAGACTGTTGCAGCTAGCGGAATAATCATTGGCTATTAGCTAAAGTTAGATAATCCAACATTGTCATCTGAGTGTGAAGAATTCGTTTGTAAAAAAACCCAAACTAAACAAGCCCCACCATACAGACCTAAAATAAAGACTTAATGTATACAAGTCCTGTTTAATTACAACAATAAATGAACTGAGATGTTTATGTTTTATTCTTATCTAAATACTTTTCCCAACGCTAATTAGTAGGTTTTGCGTCGGATTCTCGAAATGGTAACACTAATATAAGGGAGGTAACTTCGTAATTTTTCTTTTGGTATGGTGTCTTCATTTACACTACTCGATAGATCAAATAAAATAAAATAAAAAAACACAAGATAATTTATTAAAACATCTTTCACATATTAAATATACTTTTTAAAAAGTTATTTGAGAAAATTTAGATGTTTTAAAGTTTAATTAATCGGTATCGAAACATTATTTAGTTTCAGTTGAAAATATCACAGAGAAGCATTTTTAACATGCAAGTGGGTAATTTATGAGGTGCTGACACATTTATCGACTTCCTGATATTTGGGAAATTTAAGAAGATAAATGTAATAAAATTACCTATACAATTTTAACTACTAAAAATTTAAAACATTTTAAGCATTTTGATATATTTTGTTTAATTTGAAGGACTTTGGATCTATAGCCTTACTTACAATGAAACTTGCTTAGGAAATGCTATAAAATTCCCAATACATTTAAAATTTATTACAATTACTGCACTTTTTTTTTTGATAGTGTCGTGTATGGACGTCCGTATTTACAAAAATCAGCACGTTTTTACTTAGTGGAGGGTCGTTGAATTGTATTTTTCATTTATAATTAGTAGATGCAGTTTTAAATTGAAAATAATATCACTTGGCCGATACAAATTTAATATAGAATATTAAAAGATTTAAATGATTATAAATTATTTTAATTAAAATAAAAGAAAATGCAAACAATTCTTTCAAAAATTGATTATTTCAAATTTATATTATGGACACGATTGTTAAGAATATATTTTATTCATAAAAGCTTTTGTAATTAATTTACGGCATTTAAAAAAAAAATTACGATACAGAGTAGATCTTTTGTGACTTGGTGTCATGTTTGCCCCCCCACCCTCGAAAAAAAAATATTCATTTAAATTCTCCGAGATTTGCCCTTAAACAAATATAAACATAAAGCGACATAAAACAGAATTTCTCAATTTCAAGAAGATTTTACAAAGATTTAAAAAAATAAATAAAAAAATAGAAATCTTAAAGAAATGATTTCATTCATTTCCGTAAAAATCCTTGAAATAAGTTCGGTCAGTTACAATAAGTTTATATTTGCAATTACCACTGAGGATGATCTCGGCGGATATCGAAAGTACTTGGGTTTGCAAGAACTACACAGCCTTTCTTAATGAATTTCAGATTCACATCAAGAAGATAATTTGAAACTACAGTAAAATCGACCTTGCTAACCGAACGATCCTCCCTGGCCGAATCGGTTAAATGGCACATCAGGCTAAATGACTGTTCCGTATAGGATACAGGTTCGAATCCTGTCGGAGAAGGAATATTTTCTATGAAAATTTCTCGGACATTCAGGCCGGTAAATGTTGTTTAATACTGTTTATTATAAACAGAGCATTTACTTAAATAATTGTATCTATAAAAAGAATGTATAAACATAAAAATTACTTAAAATAATTGTCGGACTTTGTCCATTTCATAATGTGTGACGTCTTTTGTTTACATTTGGATACGCCATGAGCAGATATAAATGTATGTGAGAGATTCATGGAAGATTGATGTTTAAAGGCAGTAAATTCGAACTTGCTAACCGAAGGCCCCTCTGTAGTCAAATCGGTTAAGGCACGTCAGGCTAAATGACTGTTCCGTATGGGATACAGGTTCGAATCCTGTCGGAGAACGAATATTTTCTATGAAACTTTCTCGGACATTCAGGCCGGTAAATGTTGTTTAATACTGTTTATTATAAACAGAGCATATACTTAAATATTTTTATGTATAAAAATAATGTATAAGCATAAAAATGTCTTAAAAATAATTGTTGCACTTTGTCCATTTCATTATATATATATATATATATATATATATATATAACTGCACAACATTGTGTTTATATAATATGTGCATAAAATATATGAAGAAGACCAGAGGAAGAAAATTGCAAATAGTAAAATCATGAACGTCAAACACTCTGCAGATGAAGAGCTCCATATCTCTGAATCGGCCATTTTAAAGATCGCGCTGAAAGATAGAGTCTGTTAATGGGCAAATAATATTAAAAAATGTCATTTTAATATGTATTAAAAAGCTCATGTAAAAAGTATTTAAAATAGAGCTGCGTTATATACATAAAAGAAATATAAAATCACACACACACACACACACACACACACACACACATATGCATCCATAAACAAACATATGTTACCGAAACAATATTGTTTAAATGAAAACTAAAACCGAGAGAGCAGTTGCACACACACACTCACACACAAACAGACAAACAAACACACTCACGAAAGGAGAGAAAAAGTCCAACACAGAAAAGACTTAAGATATTAGTATGAGGCAATGAAAGTGAAAAGAAGGATTTTTGATAGATGTTGATATATAGAGGCGAGAGTGAGAGAGGCCCAACTTTGTTATTCCGAAAAAAAAAATAGGTAGGTAGGTATATTGAAATATATAAATATATAGATAGACAGATAGACGGACATATAGATGCACATAGATAGGTAGGTAGATAGATAGATGCAGATAGGTAGGTAGGTAGGTAGGTAGGTAGGTAGGTAGGTAGGTAGATGCAGATAGATAGATAGATAGATAAATGCAGATAGGTAGGTAGGTAGGTAGGTAGGTAGGTAGGTAGGTAAATGCAGGTAGGTAGATGCAGATAGGTAGGTAGGTAGATGCAGATAGGTAGGTAGGTGCAGACAGGTAGGTAGATAGATAGATAAAGGCAGATAGGTAGGTAGGTAAACGTAGATAGGTAGGTAGATAAATGCAGATAGGTAGATAGATGCAGATAGGTAGGTAGGTAGGTAGGTAGTGGTATATAGGTAGACAGATACAGATAGGTAGGTAGATAAATACAAATAGGTAGGTAGATAGACAGATAGGCGAGTAGATTGACAGATAGGCAGGTAAGACAGATTGATAGAGATAGGTAGGTTGATAGATTGATTCAGATCGGTAGAGAGACAGAAGCGGGTGGGTAAGTAAATTGACATGTTCAGATCGATAGATAGACCTACAGAAAGGTAGGTAAATCGATAACTACAGATAAGTATGCATGATTTTATGCATGTAGGTAGGTAAGTAGATAGGTAGAAAGATCGAGATTGTGAGAGAGACTGGGAGAGATCTCGCGAGAATCAGATAGCTTGATATGGATAGATTCGACTTGATTTCAAAGAAACCTATTGCTTGATCCACCTTCAACTATGTAGCTTTTCTTTTCGTCCTGCTAGGGTCTTACATTCTCTTACGTAGATGTGGCAACAGTGGGCATCATTTGTAGTATCTATTGCACAAATGCCGCATAACGTGTATTGAATTATTTCCCTCCATTTGATATTCTTTAGGTTTGACGTTACCACACTCATGAAGCGTTAGATCAAGTGTTGTAAAACGTTTTCAGGGAAATTAACATCAAAACCTTTACCAATATCTATTTTTCGATTCTGTTCAAGACAGAGCTCAGACGTGTATTCGCGACAATTTTGCAAGACGAATAATTTTCATTTCTATAACCACTATCCGACAGAAGAGAGATCGCCAGCCTCTCGCTACTCCATCGCTATTTCCATGGCAAATGTTTTTGACGAACTACATTCCTTAGTTCTTAGTTTCAACAGACTTGACATTCAAAAGTTATACTCGCCATTCTATGTAGACTAGTAAACATCATCTCCCCGCTCTTCTAATTCCGTTACTAAGAAGGAAGTTACATTCGGACAGTTTCTTTCCAAAAACCGCTGCTTAATGGGACAAACTCTTGAGTGTTTCCTCGATCATCACAATCATAGTCTCCTTAAGCTGAAGGTTAACCGTTAAATTGACGTCTAACATCCTCCTCCCAATGTGCAACAACTTCAATCAGTAACACTCTACCTTGAGTGGCTGATGAGCCTTGTAATAGATGAACAATTAGTAAAAAGAAATAAAATGCTTACCACTGTGCATTGCTTTTCTACATTGAGAATTAGTCTTTCCCAATCATTTTACATGATGTTGGCTTTCTTCAGTCGGTTTTTGATAAAGTTTTATATCTCAATTTCGATTTTCAATTTCTTCAAGCCAAATACTGAAGCTGAAGTACCAGAGACTCTATAATGGAAGACTTCGTTCCAGGATATTAAAGTCACTCATGTATATTTAGCACCTGATACCTAGTAAAAGATGACACTGGTGAAATCGCTCCATCATTTTCATGTGTCTCCAGTAATCCCATGCATGCAACAATGAAGGCAAATCAAATATTGTGAACTTTCAACTTCGTCTCCATCGAAATTCCATCGACGTCCAACCAGTTTTCCGAATGCATTACTGAGTTTTTTCATTATCAAGGATATTTGTCACAACTTTCCCATAACTTCGTCCTGGGTATAACGATAAATTACATCCTGCAGCAAGGCCTCTGATCGGAAGATTGGAGGATTTGTGGAACGTGGAACCGCTTCTTAATTGTGCTATGGAAGACATAACTTCTTGTATTCGCCCATCCAAAGTTTTGGTTTTGTATAGTAGACCTGATTCTTTAACCAACTCCAAAGAAAAAAGTCACTGGTTATTAAGTCAGGTCTCTTGGCTGACCACTCATACATAAAATATAGAATTACGTTTCAATCACTCTGTATATATAACGTCCTGCAGCAAGGTATCTGATCGGGAGATTGGAGATTTTAAGGAGTGTGA